TGGCATTCGGATACGCTGTCGGGATCAAGTTATTTAGTGTGACGTCACGTCGACCAGGCAATGCGGCGGCAGGGCTCGGCTCTGCTGGCCCGGACTCTGCTCGTCGTGGCTCGGCTAAAGTTGCTATACGTCACGACGTCACTCGGAACGACGGTCAGCCGAGCGCATATCGATGCGGAGAGCTGCGCCGGTGGCACGCGTTCGCCTCCCGCTATCGGCGTCAACTTTTGTTATGAAACTCTAATCATGGAGCACAAAGACGGACGGAGTGGGATTGGTATAGATTCAAGGCCAGACAGTTCTAAATATTTCAATCGTTAAATGCTCTAGCGATCAATGTCTATCGGGCATTAAAACAAGTACGAAAATAAGACACAATAATCAAGTACTGTACTGGTCTTGAATCAAGAACGCCGTTTTCTGGGTGTGGGAAAGCACGCATGCTCAAGAAATGGTCAGCTTTGGCCATCGTAGTGAATTCTGTGGAAGGGGCCACAGCCATTAAAGACGGGAAACAGTGGAAAGCTGTAAGATATGATTTCAACAAGTTAAAATGCTGTTTTAATTATTTTTTTGTTGTCTTTATCTGGGAGGTTATGACTTATTTTCTTTCCAGGCTTGGAATGGTATGAAAAGTCGAGCCAGGGCGGCGTACCGCAAAGTAGTTAAACCGATCGTCCTCTCTGGCCTACCTATTCCACCACTTGACGAAGTGAAGATGACTAACGTGAACTACCGGAAAGTGTTATATTTGATCGGAGTTCCTGAGGTACGTAATAGTTGTGCCTGTTGTGTGTTCATGTAGCACAACAATGTTTCACCTATCAAACAAATTGTCATCTCAATTGCAGATTGATGATAATGGGGGAGATGTGCCTGTAGTTTCTTTCAGCAACAGTGACTATATGTCGTGTTTGCAGATTTGTGATGCAGCTCTCAATATCATAAATGTTGATGCTAGATGGCGTGGGTCTGTGACTGACAACTTGATTTGGCAGGCATCACCTGCGCGACAAGTAGTGGAACAAGCTTACTGGAATGATAGGTGCTGGTTGCTGGGTAAGTTCATTACCCAATTCATACCTTTCTCAAGATAATGTTCTATCACCAGGTCGCTATAACCTTTGCTTGTATGTTAATTTCCTGTCTAGGTGATAATGGTTATTTCACCGCTCCATGGCTCCATGTACCAGTCATAAATGCACCACCTGGAACACCAGAATTTATTTACACCCAGGTTCACTGCCGTGCCAGAAATGTTGTTGAGAGGTGTATCGGTGTCCTTAAGAGTAGGTGGAGGTTGCTTTGTTCTGATCGTTGTATAAATTACAAAGATGCAGCATATGCAGGCCAAATGATAAATGCCTGCTGCGTTTTGCACAACTTTTGTAATGAGAACAGGGTTGATCCACCCGCTCCTTTAATAGAAAATAATGTTGATCATGGGGCTGAAGTAGAACCACCACCTGAAATGCCCTTCGATGTTTATCGGCTAGGTCAGCAAGAACAGCAATTTTAAATAAATTTTGCCAATCAAAGACATGCTCATAACAATATTGTTAATGCTTTGTATGAAGTGTGTTGTGTAGAAAATGGTTGCCCAATTTGTGAAAACATGTAAATTTGATTTTATCCTGTTAAATGTAACTCATGTGTGTTAAAGTAATCTGTAACAAGATATGTAAACGTTGCATGCTTTGCATGCTAATTCCACCAAAGTTTGATGTCAATATAAATGAAAAGTTTTTCATTATCTACTTTTATTCATACCTGAAAATGGCAATAATACACAGATCTAAACAGAAGATAATCTACCTGAAAATGGCAACTTAGAACTTGTGGCAAACTTGAAAGAATTAAATCAGAATATAAGTGACAAACAAAAGAGCTGCAATAATACACATCTAAACACAAGATAATCTACCTCGAAATGGCAACTTGGAACTTGTGGCATACTTGAAAGAATAAATATAAGTGACAAACAAAATAAACGAAGAGCCACGCAACAATACACAGATCTAAACACAAGATAATCTACCTGAAAATGGCAACTAATTGAACTTGTAGCATACTTGAAAGAACTTAAATGACAAACAAAATAAACAAAGAGCCACAAGCATTGAAAGAATTACTCTTGTTAGATAGTTAACAACAAAAAAACAAGTCAAGCTAAATTGACTTGTCATTGACTTCAAATCCACAAAAGTAAACTTAAAATAGGTCACAATTTAAAAATATAGCTTTACAAATGAACATTAAGATAAAAAATAAATGAGCCTATTAAACATTATCAGTTCTAAATGGATAGCAAAGGGTCAAAGCCAAAATTGAAGGGAGTAGAGCTAGATCTTTCCTAAAGACGTTTCAGGGCTTGCATAGATCTAAACACGAGATAATCTACTCCAGAAGAAGTGCTGATTGCATAACTTTGAGAAGCACTTCCAAATTGAGTTTGAGGGTGCGACGCAGTTCTGAAGAAATTTCTGTTCTGAAGATTTTACCTGAAAAGCGAAAGATGTATAAAAATACAGTCTCACAAATAACAATGAGTTTCAGATTTAAACCTTACACATTACCTTTTTGGACATGATAAGCGACTGAGTCAGGAGTCTGCAAAGAAAAAAAAACAGATGTTTGAACAGTCTTAACTGCATACTGGCAGGTACCAAGGCTAATATAAAGTGTACATAGTAGTTTGTCACTTTCATCAATTCAATTTTTTAGCTTTAAAGTTTGCACGCAAGATTCCTGGGATTAAAATAAACTTAGAAAGCTCCACTAAGATTTCTTAGAAGCATTCACTGGAAAAACTAATATGACCAGCCCTTTTTTTGTAGTTTTTCAAGTGTAGTCAAAAGGGCTATAGATTGACACAGGGGTTTTTGGATACTATCCAAAACATTTTTTTTGATTAACACCATGTCTTTTTTTCCACTCAATAACGTACCATGAATATTTTTCTTGTTAAATGATGTTAATTTGAGGTCAATATCAACTTTTATCCTAAATTATGCAGAAGGCCCACTCAAACACTCTTTAACCCCCTTAACAAGATCATCACAACAAAAACTTGAGGGAAGCCAACTTACATCTGAATGGTTGATGACTGTTGGTGAGGAATCCTTTTCAAACCAAACAACTTGAAGCTTCTCCACCGTCTTCACATTGACAAGAATCTGTAAAATTATTGTATATTTAAAAACTAACAAAAGGTTGAAGGCAGGCACAACTCCTTTTACTACTATTACACTCACATCTAGAGACACTGCACCAACCTCTTCCTCATCCAATGCATTGCCATGAATCTGCAAATGAAACTGTACAGTAGACGTATTGTAACAACACAAAATACATGGAAGTAGCACAAAATTATACCTCGGCTTCTCCCACTCCAACCTCGAATTGCAAATGTAGATTATTATTATTCGGAATGTTACCCTGAATGAATTGATTGAGGAGCAAGTCTGCATCAGGAACTATGGGGGGTGCAACCTGTTGCTGCCTCTCTAGTTGAGGTGCAATCTGTTGCTGTTGCTGCCTCTCTAGTTGAGGTGCAACCTGTTGCTGTTGCTGCCTCTCTAGTTGAATCTGAAAAGGTATACAGAGATTACTTATTTACGATGCAAAATGTTGTGGGAAGGAAAGAACTTTCACATTTAAAAGGGAGCCTGACCTTTAACGGGCAAGGGCATCAGCTGCCCACAGCAGCAGTTATTCCTGTTAAACCGAGGACCCTTTTGTATAGCTTGCTGATTGCCAGACCCGCTACATCCACATCTGGGCCCCCACCTGTACCATTCCTGTATGCCGACATGATTCGTAGACTGGTTCGTGGCCTGCTTCTTAAACCAACCCAGGCCTGAAAGACAACCATAGAAATAATAATTCTCATGATAATAATAACAAAGGCACATTCAGTAAAGAAGAGAATTCTTACCAATCTCCATTGTTCTCCATCTTTTGTCACTGTGGCACCAGGCACACTGTTCACAATGGCAGCAATATCCTCCCACTTCTGGTGGGTTCGTTGCACGCCTCCAGGGGCAAGAAACTGCCCATGCAAAATTTCCTTGTCCATGGCAATTAGGTCGATTAGAGTATTCCACTGGTCATCAGAGGGGCGAGCTAAAATAACAAACCAAATATTATAATACATTTATACTGGAAAACAAATTTAATTCAAGAATACCAGCACAGGACAACGAGCATGGTGTAATTGTCAGAGTGAGGCTACCGACAGAAATGTGGAGAAAAGACCAAAGACAATCTGTTTTCCAACGTCAATAACAGAGCAAATCACAAAGCCCATATGGTGAGGTTATGTTACTGTTTTTGAGTCCTTACAGACATAAAGCCAACAGGAGATAAATCGGCTAACTTAAGATCAGTAATATTTTGACTTACCCATATTGAGCACAGAAATGAAAGTTGGTCGAATGGTCGAGAAAGAATGGAGGTCGAGACTTAGCTCCAGAAGTACCACGAATGTACAGACTTTCGCTTTCCGCCAAGTCGCTACGGTCCCTCCGCTCAAACTTCTTGCTTGCTGCTGCTAGCACACTCTGCTGGCAAAAGCCACAAGCACAAGCTGAGCCGAAGGCCGGCAGCCGGCCGAGCTAGGTAGCCCGACCAGTACATGACCCGTCCGCTGCGACCCGACCCGCGCGAGGCCTCCACCACCCCTGCGCCCGAGACAGAGCGCTCCTCGGAATAAGTCGGCTGGCTCATCCCCGTGCCACCGGATTACGCCACCCTGGACGCGGCCCGAATGCACCACCCGGCAGACCCACGGGATGAGTCGTTGCAGGAAATCCGCATCTCGTTCCGCAACGACGCGGTGACCGCAAGCCGCAAGCACACCCGCCAGAGAAAGCGGGGCGAGCAGAGACACGAAACGGACGGGCCGGTCCAGCTCAGGAACAAGCAGCAAAAACGAGCGCCGGTGGTACAGAAAGGCGAAGCTGGATTTTCGCAACTATCAAGGGGAGCCGCCGTACACGCCCCCCGTGCTGCACGACCCGGAGGTCCTCGTATTCATGGATAGGCGGCGCCGCGAGGCAGAGCAAACCGGACAGGCCGGCGACACCACGCCTGAACAGGCCGCACCCGACATCCTAAACGACCTGTCACCTCAGGAAACGAGCACCGAGCCGAACACGGCCGCGTTCGGTGCCTCAGACAGACCAGTAACCGACGTAGTGGACGCCGAGCCGAGGACGCCCGCCGCGCCAGCCAGGGCAGGCCGCGTCGAGATCAACTAGGCGGAGGAAACGCACATGGGCAGACAGGACGCTGAGGAGAGCTCGGGCGACGACGACCCCGTGCACTCGGAGGGCGAGAGTGACTACGGCCTCCTAGCTCGTGACCACGACTCTGAGGACGAGGAAGACTGTCACTGGGCCCCTTCCGGCACATACCGCTCGACAAGGGGGGAGGGGGGCCGGACGCCCCCGCCCCCGTAGCAGTGCGCAATCCAACCCCCGCGCCTCGCCGGACCCCACCACCACCCGTGAGGGCATAGACACCATCACCCGTGCCGCGCCAGAGCAGGCCGCCAGCGCCGCGACAGGTGACCAGTAGCCCATCCCACCCCAAAAAATTTTCGAGGTACGGAGCCTAAATTGTAGTTTTGACCTATAAGAGACCGTGTGCAAAGTCCTGGGCCTGTGCGACAACGTTTACGCGGATCGCATTGCGATTTTCGTTTTGGCCCAACCTTGGCGGCAAACAGGTAGACCACCTTGTAGGCGTTGCACTGCGCGCACGGTGGGACCGGGGCAAACGACTCGGGCTGAAAGTGTAACCCTATGGGTCCAACTTTGTATCAGATGTGAAGGATCCGAGCTCCGGACACACGGGGCGTGTCCGTGTCCGGGGGCCTAAACGTGCGCCCGACGTGCCCTAACTTTTTATTGTATAAAAACCGAGGGCACACTGAGACCTTTCAATTATTAATGTCTGTGGGGTAGTGGTTGTTTGTTCTCAGGCAATAGATCCCTTGAGGTGGAGCCAGGAGATGAAGGAGACGACTTCACTGGGGAGACAGAGAAGTGCCCAAGGAGAGATACATATCCTGTTGCCACACCAAGACGTGAGTGTTTGTGTTTTCAAATTTTAACTAGAGCACCATTATGCCACCCCTACTATCTAAACTTCTAGAAAACCGATGCTTTTGTAAATGCTCTCGGGATTCCATTTAAAGCAGTTCATGTCATTAAAGTTTTTATATCTTACTTTGTATTGATTATTGTTATACATTTAATGTTGAAAATCCTAAAGTAATATGTATAGTTAATTCAGTTTATGGTGCTCAAATGTTTCAGGTTGCAAGAAGTCTCTTGGCGCGAGGCAAAGGTCTTTGCCCCCTGGGTAAAGGATGTCTACGAAGAGAGTGTGCGAGGCTGCGGGGGTGGTGTCTCTGACACATGAAAAGAGCTTGCCCAGACTGTAATGGATTATCGCCAGTCAGCCTTTAACATTCCGCCGCAAACTAGAGAAGGCTCCGCGACGATCCTCATCGCTGTCAAAGCTAGCTTACACTAGTCTGTTGATCTGGTGGATGAACTCACCATTTCTCCTCTCACCAGACAAATAGTCAGAGCAGAAATGGGTCAACCTAAAGCGTCCAAAGAAAAAATAAGACTTTGGACTCT